AGTCTTTCTGTTTTCTGCTGCAGTCAGTACGATGGTAGGAGAGGTCCTTCTGTGTCAGACTTTCTTTCCTTCATTGTGAGGTTACTAAAGCAGAGTTGGACTAAGCTCGATGTTGGGCCCTCTGGAAGCCTGGCCGAGACAATTTTCTCCTTGATACTATTTTGTGTAGCTCTGTTTAGTTCTGCCTGTTCCAAGACCTCCACATGCTTTATATTAAAATTTGACATTTTTAATATAAATATTTAGTTCAGGCAGCCACAAATAAAACTCCTGTTAGATAGTTTTATATCTCTGTCATGGTTTAACCTGGCAGGTAGCTAAACCAACCACAGAGCTGTTCGCTCACCCTCCCCACCCCGCCCTGCAGCAGGATCGGGAAGAGAATTGCAAAGGAAAAAAGGTAGAACTCGTGGGCTGAGATAAGGACAGTTCAATAGGGCAGGAAAAAAAAAGGAGAATAAAAACAATGATAATAATTGTGATAAAAGAAAATACCCAACCAGTGATGCACGGCACAATTTCTCACCACGCGCTGACCGATGCCCAGTTAGTTCCCGAGCCGCGGCCCCTCCCCAGCCAACTCCCCCAGTGTATGTACCGAGCATGACGCCGTATGGTATAGAATATATACAGCACGCCGTGCACCCCCGGCTTGTCGCTGGCAGGGCAGAGCACGGGAAGCTGGACAGTCTTTGACTGCTGAGCAACAACTGAAATCATCAGTGTGTCGTTAGCATTATTTTTGTCCCAAATCCAAAACACAGCACTGTACCTGCTCTCAGGAAGAGAATTAACTCTACCCCAGCTGAAACCAGGACAATCTCTCCTGTGACACCCAGCAGGCATGCAGGAATTTGTTTAGTACGGTGCTGTTATAGATTCAGTTTGTCATTGATCCTGTTACTGTTAGACTTCTGTATCCTTAAACATAGCACTTCCCCAGCCTATTCACATTACTGTACCATAGGTTCAGATACCAGGTAAGGTAAGAGATATTGTCGAGAACATTAAACATGTCCAGTTCTCAGAGGTTCTGGAGACTGTGTAAGGACATGTCCATTTTTAGTGCCTCTCTTTCTTATCTCCTGATTATTAGACCTTTGTTTAGCACTTCTGAACAAATAATTGGTCTTTTGCTAAATATTTTTGGCCGGTGTATCTTGGATGCAGATTTCATCAGCAAAGCTCAGCTCTCCAGGGTTAAGACGTAGTTTGAGGAACTGACTGGAGGTTTGTTGCAGAAAAAAAAATCGGTAATGGCACTAAACAGCACGCTTCTTGAGCTATCGGAGGAACATCAGGCCAGTTAACACCGGAATGGAGATTGCAGTATGTTTAGTATCTCTAAAGGTTCTGGGTGGTTTTTACGTAGGTTCTGTAAATTTGTAGTATCTCTGCTAATACTGCAGAGTCCTTCTGAAAGTTAAAACCTAGGGCAGGATGTAGGTGCTTTTCATTGATTCATTCAACACTCTCACATATTACAAAAATACTAACATTTCAAAAGAAACTCCACTAGTTGCTAGTGTCACAACTCATTTCCCCTTTCTTTAATAATTTTTTGATGATTCCTTTCCTCCATTATTCTTACATTCTCTTTTTGCAGAAACTTGTCATAAGAAAAGCACAATAGTGACAAATAGTGCATGGTTAGAGGAAAGTAAATTAATGGAGACAGTATGTTGTGAAACTTAACCCAAAATACTGCCCTACCCTCCACTAACTTGTGGCACAGAGTCAAAAATACTGTCTTTGCAAGAAATTTCAAGAGTATTTTCAAGTTCTTAGCATAACTTCTTTTGAGCTATGTTGAACTGATTTTTTCATGGCTTTTGTAAATGCAATTGTAGTGTTCTGATGACACTGATATCTGTACACAGGCTTCCATATGGGCAACATATATAGAAAAATCAGGGGGTAAAAAAAAAAAGAGAAACATATTGCAACTTCTTGCTTGTAGCAACCAGGGCCAAACACAAGAAAGGGCACAGAAGGAGACAATCACAAGGGCATTCACAATGACAATGGCCTTTTTTCTGTTTTCTAACGTACAAAAATTAAATAGTCTCGTCAGGTTAGTATTATCTTGTATGCCATTGTTCTCTCCAATCTCCATGACATGGTGCTGCCATGGCATGTCACTACTGCAGCAGAACAACCCAGGAAGATTTTAGGGAGGTCTATAAAGCTGGAGTGAGGTGAGAGCCACCCCTGCTCCGGCGAGGTCCCAGCAGTCGGCCAGCACAGAAGGAGTCTCCATCACCGCTGAGCTGCTTTAACCAACTCCCGCACCTTCTTCTCGCTTGTTTTTCTCCAGGTGGTACCTTTTCCTCAAGACTACATGGCAACCTTGGGGCTGTCACAGAGGGGGAGAAGGAGCCTCTGTAGGAAGGTGATTCCCCCTTTGCCTTGTCTTAGAGTCAGAGCTCTTCCTCTCATATGCCCAGTGTGGAAGCGTAAGTTGTGGCTGGAAAACCTGAGGGATGAATTAAAAAAATGAAAGAAGAAGAAAATATTTGTTCAAAGCCTTAAGTCCCTGGACAGGTGGTCCATGGAACTCAGCACACATCAGTACCTCTGCAGCTCCGTTGCAGGCTGGTTTCTGTGTTTTGAAGACCCTCAGCATTCTCCTCAGCACAATTGAACTCAAACCACTAAAACCAGGTGCTGGCTGGCTGCTGTTCCTGAAGTTCAGACCACACGGGGTTTGCCAAGTCCTCCTCCTGTCAGAGGAGCAGAGTGGGAGGTTAGTGCGTGCCTGGTGGAGCCGAGGTCCATCTTTACTTCCTTCATTTTTGTCTGTCTTCCCTTTACTGAAATGACTCTCATTAGGGAGCAGAAGCAAGTCCTTTTGGGGATTCAGGTTATCCTGAGAGAAAGTGCCGAACACTTTAAAGTAGGCTGCAGAGTCTTTACTTGACACCAGCTAATCGGGTAGGTCTTGTCTCAAAAATAAAGAATGGTAATGACAGCAAAGTTTTATCTGACATCTGATTTTATAGCACTGAAATGACGAAAACTTTCAAGACCAATACAATTTGGAGAAAGCTTAAACTGAAAAGTCAATCCAATATCTGACCCAGATTAATTCAGTAAGTGAAGCGCCCTCAAAATAATGCATATTCCCCATTTCTTACTTTCCCCCAAACCAACATCAGGGAAGGAAAGTTACAGCCCGTTATCCATTTCTCAAGGCTCGTTCAGTGGCGCGTGCCTGAACCTAACCTTCCTAGGACTATTTAGAAAAATGTTGGCCAGGCTTCCTCCTTTCTGAGGTCACCTGGCTACTTCATGTTGCTACATACATCTGCTTGGCCTGCTGGCCACGCTCCTGAGTGCAGTTTTGGCAAGCGACCGGTTCTTTTAGTACAGGGACAAATTAGTTTCAGTGGAGCTATGCTGGTTTACAGCAGCTGAGAATCTGTCCCTTGCTGTAAACCTCCGAGGGCAAAAGTAATGCTGAAGAGAAGTGGTGGAATTTTTGTCCTTTGAATTAACATCGCTGAACTACAGCTGAGTGTAAAAATTATTCTTCTGAGAATGAGAGTTCTTGTAAATTCTCAGTCAGCTCTGGAAAGCATATTTAATACAAACATTCAGAAACTTGTCTTTTAGGAAAGGTTTCCCCCTAGAGATTTGATTTGCCTCCAGGTACTATAAACTGTGCTGAGATCTGTGCTGAACTAGCTTTGGCCTTGGAAATGAGTGATGTGGAACTCAAAGTTTCATATTGATCTCTTGAAAATATCTTTAAATAATAATCCTTTCTAATGGTAATAATTTCACATGGAGTTTTGTACTGTGCCTTCTGTCAAGAATATACTGTGAAAATAGTTTCAGCCATCTCCATGAGCGTTTGGCTCAGAGTAAGTTTCTATAATAAATGAACAGCATTCTTAATAATTGTATTTTTTGTCACACTTTTGGCTACATTACAGAAAATCTAGAAAAACGAGCTACAGCAAAGACAGAAAGTGAATGTGTAAAAACTCCTGTGAATTTGGAAATACCTGTTTAAAACCACTCATGCGTAACACCTCCCTTGTGGCTTTTGGAGCAAGCTTTTTTTGCCTCTTAAATTTCTTTTGTATGTTCCCGGCAGCAGTCCACCCGCAGAAGAGGGATCCCTGTTGGTGCGCAGCCGACGTGAATCGCACACCTCCACAGCCTGCCAGGACCGGAGCGGAGGAGACTCGGCCACCCTTTCGGGGCTGCTCCCCTCAGCTCAGGCCCGTCGGATCCCAGCGGTATTTTCACCGCCCCTTCCCTTTTATCGATTGCGAGAAACTGAACCGATGGAACGACGATCCCTTTCCCAAGAGCATTCTCTAGGCAGAGCTCCCCGCCGGAGCCGCAGCCGCTGACTAAGCCCTGCAAAGCAGCGGCTTGGTGTGAGCAGACGTCGGTACGTAAGTTCACCTGACTGGAGGATCGAGGCCTTAAGTCATCTGTGCAAAAATCACATCATGTCGTCGTATTGAGAGGGAGCCCTGTTCTGCCTTTGTCTCCTGTCCCCCACTTTCAAAAACCTGATGTCAGTGTGGAGGATTTTGTCTCCACTGACCCTCAACAACTAGAGGAATTTGACAGAAACACAAGACACCCATGCTATGTAAAATAAAGGACTTTTGAGGAAATCCTTTCTCTTCAGTAGAGCATTTTGAGCAGTCTTTGCTGCAGTGACGCCGGCGCGAACCAGCGTCCTGGCAGCGGTAGCCATTGAGCCGTATCAGCCCGGCGGCCGCTGTAGGGTAACTGCAAAGCCGGACGGGGAATAGCAGAGGTCAGAGCTGTGGCTGCGGCTCTACCACAGGCTTTCCGAAAGCACTGTGCACCTGCAAAAGGTTTTGGTTGTTAATCGTTCCTCTTGAGCAGGCTGGCACAGCTACGAGGACACCGTCACCAGGGAGCAAGCGGAGCTGGAAGCACCGGGTCCACAGGAGCGGTCCTGGCAGGCGGGAGTTAGTTTTCCTCCTTACAGGTTTGGAGGAAGGAGCACCATGGTGTCCCTTCTGCAGGAGACCCTTCACGAGCTCCACTGCCAGCCTGCTGCCCCCAGCAAAGACTTCCACCGCTTGGCCACCACCAGCGCAGAGGTAAGGAGCTGAGTCCCGGCGCGGGTGTCTTCCCGAGCGTTCATTGATGCTGATGGCAACAAGGTAAAAAAAATTCTATTGGACTTGTTATGCTTCTGGTAAGGAAAATCTCTGTGGGTTCCAAAACTGCACAACACCCTGGCAAGCTGTCAGACAGCCTCACAGTAATGCCAAAAGATTTTGAAAAGTGACATAATTTAAATCCTTTAATTTATATTGGATGCTCTTTCCTGCCTGCTGAGCAAGATTCTGGTGGTGAGCATTTCTCCAGGGAAGGCACAAATTTACATTTCTTTTTCAAGCATAAAGTTCTCCAACACTCCCATTCTGCTGGAATTTGGAAGTTTTTTGTGCGTTTTGTTTGAACCGTGGCACATCATTGAACAATACACACAAAAAAATCTCAATGGCACAAACTTAAACACCCATTGTCAAGAAATTAAATAGCTAAGAATTTGTTGGCAGCAGTAATTTGCTTTCTTTTCTGTGTCGTATGGCAAGAGAGTATTTTTAAAAGCACCTCGGAGACAAGAGCTTCATTCCTTTTCTTAAAAGGAGCTAAATCATTTTTGAGAAGGGAACTTACCCACCTTAAAAAATCATTCCATATTTTAAATGCGTTTGATACTGGAGCTGACAGCATTTGTGACCTGAGGGTCCCAGGCTTACTCTATGGGGAAAAAAAGAAGTCCCTCAAAACCATTTTGCTTTCCCTCTCAAATGGAGAGGGAAAACAAACTTCAAATTACCTTCAGTAATTTTGAAACATTAGCCAAAACCACTAGCATTTTCAAAAAAGCTGGTACCTGTCCCCCTCATCAGCCATAGCGTCAGGTAACATTTAGCAGTGATCTGTCACACCTCACAGGCTACTTTTATAGACGCAGTGTTTTTTCAGCATCTGTGGCTAAATTTTCAAGAAAATCAATCCTAAACATGCTGTAAAACTGCAGTGAAAGTGTAGTGATCAACCACAATTATTGATTGCTGAAGAATTTTTTTTCTCCTCTAGATGCCACAGGAGAAAGCTAGCACCGTGGGCTGGGTACCTACCTGTTCTTCTGTGTGGTGATGTCCCAGCCTCATCTCCTTTTGACTGAAGGATATATATTCCTTGCTGCTGTGCCAGGAGTGCCATTAGTTCAAATGGCACTCACTCCTCACTCCTCCTCACTCCTTGTTCCCTGGTTTCGGCCATCTCCCATGCAATGGGTTCTTGCGGAGCAGGAGCTTGCTCCGTCTTCCCTCCCTCTTTGTCCTGATCTCCTCCTTCCTTCCAGCTTGGAAGCGTCTTTCCTGAGCAGGGGCAAGCAGCTTTTCGGGTGTCCCAGGGGAGGTCTCAGGCGGGCGTGCTGCCCAGGCGTAGGTTTCCCTGGGAGCTCTGGGCCGTGCCCTGCCTGACGCACTCGAGGACAGTGGCTGACTTTCACAGAACCACGACCTAGTGTGGATTGTGGTTTTCCCATGACTGGCTTAAAAAACAACTGGTCGTTTCCATCCAAGTCATCAGTTAAGAGCACTCTTGCTACTCGTCCGCAAGCCTGGTACTTGCGTTCTGCAGCTATCGCGTTTTATCCTGTTTTCATCACGCCAAAAACCACTAGCTGGGTCCTGCCTCGGTCATTCATGTGTGGAATGTGGAAAGTCAACCCAAAGCCAGCTGATAACCTGTCCCCACTGTGGTTCTCATTTCATCCTGAGTGTTTTGGCTTTCTATGGTTTGCCAGCCCTTTCACCTAGCTCGCAAGTTCTCGAGTTAATTTCCAGCTTCTGTAGTTCATCTAAGTTCCATTTAGCATGGAATCAAACACTTCGTTAAATTCCAAACAAATCAGGTGTACCCCATTTGCTACATTTCTTCTTGGCCAAACTAAGTTAACTTCTATTCCTTTTTCATGCTGTTGATTTCTGTAGGTGATCTGGAGTACTTGGAGGATTTCCTTTCAAACTAGCCACGAGAAGGTTTTCCCCAAGGAGGTCAAGAAACTCCATGCAGAATTTTTGCTGGATCAGCAGTTACAGAGCAAGTATTGCACTAGCAAACAGAGGATACACAAAGTGTTAGAAGCCATCTCAGCCCTAGTGAATAAGGCTTTTTTGTACTGTATGGTTAAACTTTTTTTCCTAAGTTGTTAAGAATTTTTTTCTCTACATCTAGGGATTTCATTTGATTGATGAAATCGCGTTAGAATTTCGTAAGTCTCCTCCTTTCAGTTAATATTATTGAGCGAGATGCTTGCATATGGTTTGCAGTTCTAGGTTATGTTTTTTGCGCAAGCAAAATGTAAAAAATTATCATATTCACCTGTGCAGTTTCTTTCTCAGTGAAAATGTCAACAATTTGAAGGCACGCAGTATAATCGTACAAGACAGCTATCTTGTTTCATTTCATTCTTTCTTTCAGGCCTCTCAGTTCCTTTCTGGAATTGCCTTTTTGTTCTTCTTATTACATGGTAATGACTGTAATGAATAGAGCAGTAAACCTGTTACCTAACACTGTAGCTATGGAGAAACCACAAGTCATTGGAAGTATGTCTTAAATACCCATTGTATACATTTCTACCCTGTGTAGCACATTTCCAAGTGTTCTCTTCTTAGGTATTTGATCTTTAAATAAAGAACTTAAAATTTTTCAATACACAATCAACTTTAATGTTTGTACTGCAGGATAGTGTTATAAATTAAGGAAACAACACTGAGTCTATTCAGCTGTGGAAGTTGTTTCCATTTTTCATTTGACATCCCTAAGCTCATCACATTTAATATTCCCTTAATTGTTTTGGCTCTTGCCCTGTGTGGAGGGTTAAATTACCTCTCTCGAGTATTTCTTTTCATTTCAATGGGGTGTCTTGAGCTCTAACTTTTCAGGGGAGGGGAGGCGGAACACCCAACTCTGAACTAGATAACGTTGCTGTCAGCGGAGCGAGTCCTTTCTCTGGCGGCAGCTGCAGGAGCGGCGGAGAG